CTAGCTGTGACTTTCAAAAGTATACTAAAAGTTCTGAATCCAAGTTCACTGCATTTACACCAATTGCGGTAAACAAAATTTTTGATCTTTTAAGAGGGCTGTCTTGTAAAAAAGCATGTGGTATTGACAAAATTTCCAGTAAAATTCTTAAATTAGCATCACCAGTTATTTCTGCTACACTTACATATATTTTAATCAAAGTATTACTCTTTGCAACTTTCCAGATGAATGGAAAGTAGCTAGAGTTTTACCTCTTTATAAAAGTGGTCATCGTAATATTCCTGGTAATTACAGGCCAATATCGATACTACCAGTCATAAGCAAAATCATGGAAAGATTACTGTATGACCAGCTGTATGATTATTTAACTAAAAACGAAATTCTCTCTGATAACCAATTTGGCTTTCGAAAGTTTCACTCCACCACTACGTCCCTTTTAGATTCAACAAATAGTTGGTATGTTAACATGGATCGAAAAATGTTTAACTTAGTAGCTTTTATAGATCTAAAAAAAGCATTTGACACCGTAGATCACGAAATTCTACTTGAGAAAATGCAAATTTACGGTATTAAGGATAAGGCACATTTGTTGCTGAGATCATATCTTACTGATCGCACCCAAAAATGCCAAGTAAATGGTGTTGTCTCGTCTGAACACAAAGTTAAGTGTGGTGTTCCTCAAGGCTCCATTTTAGGTCCTTTATTTTTCCTAATATATATAAATGATTTATCTGAAAGCCTAAATAGGACAAAGCCAAGACTTTTTGCAGATGACACAAACCTCACTGCTTCCGGTGGTACAATTGATGATGTTGAAAATGCAGTGAACTCTGATTTGGAAAACCTCAGAATGTGGTTAAACGCGAACAAACTGAGTCTAAACATTGCCAAAGCTGAATTTATGCTCATAGGATCAAGATCTCTAGTGCATACTGTTTCAGATTCAAATTTAAACATAATGATTGAAAACAGACCAATTAAACAAGTGAAGGAATGCAAGATACTAGAAGTAATAGTTGACCGTGATACACTTGTTTCTATATTTAATGCAATTGTACAACCGTACTTTACTTATTGTTGTGAAGTGTGGGACATTTTTGGTGAAACTCAATCACAACGATTACAAAAGCTTCAAAATAGATGCGCTCGAATTATTATGGACATGGGTAACGAAGTTAATGCCCAAATCGCATTAAATTCGTTAGGATGGGAGACACTAAAAGTACAAGGAACTAAAGCTAAGGCAATATTAATGTTCAAAATTTTGAATATGTCTGGGCCTAAAAGCCTAACAGACCTTTTTACTTACAAGAATGAGAATACGCATTACTGTCTCCGTGACAATGAAACAACACTCGTTTTGCCACAGCCCCGCACAAATAGCATGAAAGAGTTTTATGTTTAATGGGGCAAAAATATGGAACTCAGTGCCTAAAGAAATCAGAGGAATTAGCTCCCAGTCTCTATTTGAAAGAAAAATTGCTGCTCATGTTTCTAAATAATATATTTATACATACATATATATATATCCTTTATTGTAAATAGTTATCTATATGTTTTGTTAGTTGTCTATATTGTCAATTTTGTCAATTGGAACAGTTAGATTATTTCTATTTTCTTTTATTTGATTCCATAAGAGTCATAACAACACTTATATATAATAACTTTTGCACACACGCCCTTCGTGGAAATCAATGTTTTTAATTGACGTAGTTAGCGTGTCAAAATAAAATCTATCTATCTATCTATCTATCTAAAAGGCACATGGTGGAAATGAACGGACTTCGGAGTTACCATCAGACTATGTACTCCGAGACCGTCAGCAAGGTTGGGTTGTCTGCGAACGACGAATGGTATAGTTGTCCTTTTCGAACTTGTTGTTTTTGTTAATTACATAAGCCAGGCAGTTTTCCAGCTTGAGTCAAAGAGGTCCACCGTCTTCCGCCACAAGTCCGATCTTTTTAGACCCGAACCTGTTCCTGACGCAATCCTCAAATGTGAACGAATCTCCGGAGAAGTCTAATACTCTGGTAATAGACATAGTGCCTTTATTATATGCAAAACCCTTACCTTTAAACAGTTTACTGGTGGGAAGACCTTATAAAGACTTTAGGAAGACCCTATGAAGATTTTGGAAAGACTTTAGGAAGACTCCGGGAAAATTTTGGGAAGCATGTCGCAGGCGCGCGGGGTGGAGGTGGACTGGGAATTCAGGACGTTTTGGGAGAGGAAAAGAATTCCTGGGAAATTTGGAAAAGATTTTGGGGGAAGATTTGGGGGTTTCCCTAAAAATGTTTTTTGGTGGAGATTCGGAAAAACCAGGCACGGAAGATGCGGAAGAGATGTCCTACGGAAGAGGGTTCCGAGATGGCCGGACGAAAATGAGTGTGCTGATGGGACTAATAGAAAACCAGAAGTGACGTCATAGAAACTGGAAGTGACGGCATAGTTTTTTTTCCAGGAAAACGGAATTCCAGGAACTAAATTGGGAAAAGGAATTCCCCTTTCGGGCATGTCTGGGCAAGCCTAATTTGCGGCAAACTGGGCGCAATTGCGAAAAGTACTCAATACCCGCATATATACACTACTCCGCTAAAAATTGTTTCTGGTGCACGCACTTCGAGAAGATTTCAGATCGTTTGTTCAGCAGATTTTTGTCGCGAAATTTCAGAATCAGCAGCTTCTCTTGTAAGCATAGGTTGCATCTTGATCTTCCACTTGCGTGAGGGACAGCCTTCTTAAAAATGGACCAAGTGGTGTTGTAAGGTCTTCCGCTTCTCTTTAATTTCCAAGTATGCTTTGATAACTCCGTTTCGTTCGCGTATCTCTGAAGCTCTAATGATTTCATGTGGTTTCTGTACCCGTCTTTAAATTCCCCAGCTGTTACTCCAATATACCGCTTCGTTTCACCGTTGTCGTAACTTTTTACTTCGGCTTGATAAACGATAGCTTGGGTCAGACATTTTTTCTGTAGCGGGCATTCGTCTTTCTTGCGCCAGTTACAGTTGATTTCTTTGGTTGCGGTGGGTTCGGTCGATCTAATTCTCCTGTTGTGGTTGGAAATGGTGGTCTTCACATTCTTCATGCAGCTGTAACTAGTTTTGATTGAATTGCGGTTAAAGATCTTACGTAGACGGCTTGATTTAGGGAAATGTTTGTCGATAAGTTGAAGAAAAATTTTACCAATGTTTGTTACTACGTTTTTGCTGTAAGGTGGGTTAAACCATATTATGTTTCGGTGTCTTTTGTCTCTTTTTCTTTGTCTTTTCCGAAACGTATATCATATCATATATATATCATATATCAACGGAACCAAAATAAACGGAATTTGGGGGTAGATGGAATACATTTATTATGATTCCCATTATAGATATCGATTAAAATTACTTGAATTTGTAAGAAAATGTCACCACATATAGTTCATATATAGTGGTGACCACATAGCCTCCGTATTTACAACTTATAAATTTTTGGGGTTGTGTAGCTATATATTATACAGCAAGGTTTGTAAAATTATTGTAATGAGATACAATAACGTCAAATGTTTAAGGAAATTCTTTCCGTAAAAAAAGTATAAGTAGCCTTTTAGAAACTTTCTGACGAAAAACATTTTGCTCAGAACGTCGAATTTTGTTCTAGTATCTTCTAAAATCTAGACATCTATCTAGTAAGTCCTGCCAAGTTATCCTCGTCAAAAACCCCTTTCAGACAAATGCGAACATTTTTACCTGGAATAACAAACGGTTTTCCGTGCAGGATAGAGTGATCCATGCACGCGGGGATTGCGAGACTTTCGCAAAGCAAAAAAAATGCTCATTAATAATTCATGAAGAAAATTCAAAAGAAATGAATGTTTAATCAATGTTTGTAAATCGAATAAAGATTTGTCCTGATTTATATAAACTTCAGTTTTGATTTTCTCGGCTTAAAAAATGTTTATTTTTAAAATTACTTCGCCAATGAACTCATAAGGTGGGTCATTTCGCATCCGATCTTTATCTGATATACAAACTCTCGCGTTCGGCCCGAGTTTGTATATCAGATAAAGATCGGCTGCTCACGTTTAACTAGTACGTAAACCTGCACGGAAAACCATTTGTGATTTGGTAATTATTTTATAAAATAACTACAGTGAAACAACGGTTAAATTTATCAAAATTATTGATGATATTATTCTCACACAATCATGAACCAAACAATCAGAGACAGAGTTTGTAAGCCGTTAAATATGAAATGTTTTCATTGTCCCATATTTTAAAAAGCCCACGCGAAGGCATCTTAATTTTCCGTGCAGGATTGCCTGATCCGGCACGGGAATAGTGACTAATCAAATTGCGTGTTTCACTTTAGTTATCATATAAAATATTTTCTTGTTCGTGCCAAAACTATTTCTGAACTAGAACATATCACTGGCCCTTCCCGCTTTCGGCCAAGCTTCAAGTAAGAGACCGCGTTTACAGGTTCTGGCATCTCTGGGATAAAGACCACCATGTTTTCCCCTATTTCTGTGCCCAATGTGTGTTGCTCTCGTATTGCCTTCTTCCTAGGCAAAAACGTTGACCAATACTGTGCTAATCGCGAAACTGACATGAGACCATCTAACTTGACGGCCTTGCTTTATAGCATATAATTTACCAAGTGTCCAGCATGGCACCATCTCAGATTAGACGATCAGTAATGTGAGCTCGCATTTACACCTTGAAATAGAGGAAATGCCCCTCCGACATAAGGACTGTGAATGGGCGTGTCCGGCGAGCCATTACTTAGAAATACACCGTCTTCTGAGGAGAAGCGAGTTCGATTCAGTGAAATTGGTTCCGACGTACTTCGATGAATTTTCGGTAACGATTGAATTAAGGAGTCCATCTCTGCGAGAATCTATAAGTAAGATCGAGAAATTAACAAATTTTGTAGAATCTTGTTTCGAGATAATTTACTTGTGCAAATATCATACATGTGACATCAGACCTGCCAGCTGAAGAGAATGCAGATGGCTACGAGGAGGAAACAATCACATCGCATACATAATGGCATTTTGAAATTTAGGAATTGTTCATGATTTGGCAGGCTCGGTGAAGTTCTGTGCACACGCAAGAAGGTAAAAGAGCACGAAAAAGCACAAGAGTTGGGTATAACTTTTGAGTGTTCCCTCAACTTCTCAAATACGTCCACCATAAGTCGATTTGGCAAGCCGAAGCAAAGCTGTGCCGTCTTTATATCTTGGGTGTAACAACAAAAGATGGCAACAAGCAAAGGAGTGATTTAGTAAAGTGAACAGTACTCATAAACAATAGTACTGTGTTTCTACTTCACTCAATCCACTCCTTTGCTTTTTACCGTCTACTCTCCCGTGCGGTTTGACACTCAAAATGGCGCACAAGGCCTGGTCGCAAGGCGTGAGAATGGCTTATTAAACTATTCTAGGAAAGCATTACGCAGTGTGGTGTCACAGGTAAATCTATCTATGTGATGACATGCGTTATACCTGCTGAAATAGCGGACGTTCGTCTCTGTGGTAGTTTATACAGTCCATTAATAATCTCTTTAAAGATTTCGGAGTATCAGATCGCATTTTGGTAAGATCCACTCTTAAGAAGCCTCTTCCCACCATATACAAAATCTGTGATGGAACAATGTTGTTCTATGTTAGTATATATGTAAAAAACTGGAATTTTCCCCGAGCCAACGGCAGTTCCGGGCGTAAGCCCGGGGCGATGGTACTAGTTCCGCCCTGCTATTTACACCCGGGGAAACGAAAGCATTAGCGAAGTCTAAAGTTCATCAATGCATGATCGCGGGCGTGGGTGACCAACAGGTTGGAGTATTGGGTGGGTGGTCATCCTCACTGATCTAAATAATATGGCGGACTGTTATGAATAGCGAACACTGATTGGTCAAATTTAAAATTTGCATTATAACGACTGCATGATGACAGCGAAATAGCAAACATTTCTTGATTTGATGATTTCTTGCAATTATATATTTCATTTTTGCAAGATTTTGTGAATTTCAAAAGCTTTCTAAGAAAATAAAGACGACAGAATTGCTAAAAGAAGGGAGTAAAGGCGCCGACGTTAACGAAGGTAGGTTTGTTTTAAATATTGACGTATTCGCTTTATAATTGCTTTAAAAGCTGATCGTTAAGTATATTTCAAATGAAAAAGACAGCACATAATTTCAGTTTTCTTTATTGATTACCCTTTTTTATTATATTAAAATTTTTAAATAAAAAAGAAAGCAAAGTTGTTTGAATGCGAGAATTTGAAATCATTTTATTTCAAACTCAAAGTTTATCGATAACAGCAGTTTAGTTTTATAAAGAACATTTTAAAACGTCTTGCGAAGGAAGCGTTTGAGATTGACCTTAAATTGAAGCTTATATTACGTATAATAACATAATTAAAAGTGATATTTGGGGGGGATTTTTGACATTTTTCATTTGTAAAAATATTCTTAATAAAATTAGCGTGTTACCATGACAACTACTTTAAATACTTCATGTTCGGAAAATAGAATGGTTTTGCCAGCAAGGCGAGGGGTTTATGCATGGATGTATTTTCTAGTTTGTAGATGATACAAAGCTACCTGAAAAGTATAGGCGTTTCCTCGCGACGACGGACTCGATCCGGCTCAACATTTCGACGGGGCGCACTCGAATTTTTTATATATTTTCAAGTAGTTGTATCACCTACAAAATTCTTTGTTAATATTCTTCCTACCTACACTGGCAACCACCTAGAGTAAATGTAAGGGAAAATACCTTTTCCTGAAAACTTAACGTGGATGTAGTAAGTGTTTGAGATAATCCTTGAATTTACGTTGTAAACAGTGGCAGACCCTAGGGGCGGGTACAAAGAGGGGCAACCCCTCTCCACAATTGCCGAATAGCTGTGCAACAACGTTCTACAATGAATTTGCAGCCATAAAAGGCTGGATGTGATGATATTTAGGCAAATGTGGATGACATTTAAGCCAATTTAAACCGAGATTACGTCCACACCAATCCGTTCTCGATATACCCTTCGTTTTTGATATTTCAAAAGCGCATACAAATATCTGCGTCCACACCTTGCGTTTTGGGACCGTAAACACTAGCACTTAATAAAGCGATAAATTTTTATCATTTTACCGATAAATTGTTGTTCATTTTATCGTCCGTTACGCAACAATCTTACAAGAAAACCTTGGAGAAAGAGGCAAATTCATCGAGGTTAGACCTAAAAACTTCGCTGATAACAGAGTTCTAGTGGCTCTGCAATCTCAGAGATTAATTTAAAATAACCTAAGACATAGTGTACAGGGCACTACAGTATGTTGTCTTTGCAAGTTATGCTTCCAGATTAATCATCATTATATATAGTTCGAGACAAGTAATTCATCCGAAAGTATCCGTTCTCCATCTTATTAGTGTGGACGATCGGTAAAAACTTCAAACGAAAACGGATTGGTGTAAATAGGACCCTAAAAGGGTCGACATAGATTATTGGCAACCTATACAATTCGCACCCCCTGTATTTCGCAAGGTGTCTGCCGTTATAGTATATAATGCATACATTAGAGTATAATGCATACACATAAAAAATATAAGAAAAATAAGAGATTGTTCCCCAATAATTTCTTAATTCAAATAATTTTTTAAAAATGTTAAGAAATTAATCTTAAATTAAGAAATTATTTTCTTATTTTTAAGAAAATTTTTTCGAAATTTCTTGATTTGAGAAAATATTTTCTTAAAATAAATGATTGGGGAAGAAATTCTTATTTTAAGAAAATATTTTCTCAATTTAAAAATTTTTTCCAAAAAAATTTTCCTAATTTTTCTTGTTATTCTCCCAAGAAAATATTTTCTTATTTCAAGAAAATGTTCTTATCGTTAAAACAAGTTATTTTTTTCTTAAAATAAGAAAATGATTTTTTGCCGTGTATATGTTGTGGCGGCCATTGTTAGAAAATCGATGTAGACAAGTACACTGCTGTTCGGTACTTTTGGCCAGATAAGTTTAATTAAAATTCTCGGTAATTCTTCTCAGAAGCCTAATTATCTGAGGACAGCTATATAAAACTCTTAACTACTTTTTAACTCTAATTTTGTAGTTAAATGGTAGGTAACTCTAAAATACGCGATTTTCCACGACCAAAGCCCGATAAACACACCCCTCCCTTTTTCGCACCACCAGATCTGGCCCCACACAGAATTATTTATCTTTAAAACGGTCCCTCTGAAACACACATCTATAGGTAATGTGGTTATCTTGAATAAACATTGTTTTTTATTGATAGATACAATACCTGGTCCTTGTTTCCAATATTAGAGTACGGAAGAGTTCGAGACGTCAGCTCGTACAGGACAATACCATAGGCATACACGTCGGACTTGTTCGAGTAAGGATGAGAATCATTCATCCGTATTATCTCTGGGGCCTTAAAAAGGAACAGATAGTTAAACAATAAAAATAAAGTCAGAAACTGGTTCTGCCCCCCCCCCCC